CCTATATGATAGTTATATATATATCTCGATTCCTAGACGTGACCCAGCGAAACGCCGGGACACGTATAACTTTTTTTTACCGATATAACTTTCCCCGGTAGTTTGAACCCTTCCCGATCACTGACCCCTACCATTTGTCTCACAGTGTATCTAACACGTCATTTTGATACCTCAACACTTCCGCCATGCAAATTAGATTTTTTAGCAAATACTACATACCCTCACTCACTTATATCTGCGTACACTTTTTTTTTAGTATTCGCAATATTTTGCAAGCTATAAACAAAATTGTATAAATCAAATATTCAAACTGCATACAAAATTAAGGAAAATTTAATGAATTCTCATCAAAATTTTAAACTTTTTGCTCTGATTGCAGTTTTGGTTTTGTAAAAAATTTACAAAAAAATATCGCAAAATATTGTGAGTATTTGAAAAAAGGTGTGCGCAGATATAATTGACTGTGTGCATATTTCGAATTTTTGTCTGATTTTTTTTTTTTTAATCAAGGTCAAATTGTTTGAGTTTGGTACAAATTGATAAATCGGTTACCGAGATACACATACAGTGAACCAAATAAAAACTCGAACGCGGAATTTTAGTAAGTTTCGGCTATTTTGCTTTAGTTTATTTCGCGTTTATTACTTTTTTTATGAAAGTAAGCTATACGTTACTTAAAAAACACGATATAAAGTGAAATTTCAGATTTTGTGCAACAAATGCGAAAATTCTGCAAAGTTTGGTCAAAATCTCTACCTTCTAGGTCAGCGTCTTTAGGCAAAATTCAGTTTTGTAGCGCATCAAATTTTAATAAGCAAAGTGCAAATTTTAAGTATCTTCGACTTACCATTGATTTTTGTATTTTTTTTTTTGTTAAGGGTGCTCCTAATTTTTTTTTTCATATAAAAAAATTTTCGAACATAAATTGCCAAAAAATAAGGGTGAATCCTAAGCTCTTTCATTTGACACCTCATTTTCGAAAATAGAACGAACAGTACAGATTTGATGACACGGACAAAAAATGCCTTTGGGTATTATATGTATTGTTTTTTTTTTTTGTAATATTTCTTACTTCGTTTTCGATCTGTAACTTTTTAAAGAACAAATAAAAAAGTGGTGCACGAGGATCATAGTTCAATAATATATTGTACAATGGAGCAAACATGTATTTTGGCTGATAAAAATATGCATTTTCACTTTTGTGCACGCATCGTAACCTTTTAAAGAATTTGTTTTCTTTTTTTTAATTATCTTCTAAAGAGAGCAGATAAACCTGCCACATCTAGATTGATTCCTTCTATTGTCCAGAATACTATAAAAGTTGTCCGATAAAAGTTTTAGGTACGCACCAGCTATCAAAGCTTTATCAATTCAAACAATTGGACACATGGACAGACACATATCTTCGCCATGTTTGGAAAGTTGGGTTATCTATTATACTAAACATATTCTACTCACCATGCTGATTAATTGCATAATGAAATCTCCAAATACGTAAATTTTGAGTTACATCTCTATATTATTAACCGTGCGATATAACAATTCAACAAGTATTGGAGCCAAGAATAACCAAAATTTGACGTATATCATTGACAAATAAAGCATCTAAATGCTACTTATGCATATCCATCTACATAACCTCATATATATACATATGTAGATAACATTAATCACGCTAAAGGCAACAACTACTGATTTTCGCTGTGATCACCAACAGCGCACCCCATCGGTTAACCACTGCGTATAAGCAACTCAGCAGCCTTCGCCACTTTCTTTTCTTTGTGCTATGATGGCCAATAAGGAAACGAACTGGGTCGTGGTTGATGTTTGCAATACGCTTTGTCTTGCTTACTTGCTTACTTACTTATGCCACAAATAGCTTACATTGTCTCTATTTTCACCTTTTTTCCTTTTTTTTAAATTTGTGTTGTATGTCCATGCTGATGCGAATATCCTTGCCATTCTGGCAGTTGTTGTTGTTCGTTCATAGTGTTCGTGCTGGTAATTTGTTTAAATTTAGTGTTTAATTTGCATAGATTCCCCATCGAAAGCAGGTTAAGCTTAGTAAATTGTTTGAAATGTGCCAGCTGTGAGAATCTCTGAGATAATTTCATTTGCGTTGGCATCTCTGCTTAAGGAACTCTACCTGATAGAGCAGATGGACATATATACATACATATGTACTAGAGAAGAGCAGGAGTGGCTATTTTTGTGACTGTAAATCAATGATGTACAGAGAGAGGTTTTTATTCAATTTGCGCTCGTATATAATCTGCTTGGAAACCCCGAACAAGTGAAACTAGATCCTTGTCTCCAAAAACGTACCAGTTCCCATAGTAACTAGATCTCCGCCAGTTCAAAAGCAGCGAAATGTGGTACATTTAAAAAACCATTTTATTTCACTTTTTAAAACTAAATACATTTAGCTTGCTAAGAGTGATAAGATGCTGCTAAGACCACTTTTTCTAAATATTATATTTTGATGCAAAAGGCAAAAACAATTAGAAATTAATCGTTTTATAAAAGATCTAACCGTTCTTGTTCAGTGACGCGCAAAATTTGTAAAATAGTTTATTTATGTTGATGGCATCATTTTTGTTTTCATCGCTCTTCAAGGCAGGATGGGCAAATGGGGTTGTCATTTACGCCAATCGCAGTCAGATGTTTGTGCCACGTGAAGTGACTGCCAACTGGCAGTCCAACAAGTTGCATGCAGTCCCGTCTATCAATAAGAACAAAAAACTTAAAAGACCTTCTGATATTGAAGGAAACATCACTTTTGCCCACTTACATCCCCTCGATGGCTCCCAATCAGATGGCTGAGCGAAGTATTCAACCAGTTTCTGATGGTGGCTTCGATGACCAAGGTAGGGAGTGCTGTAGCTCGTTGCGGATCGAGGAATGCCTGGTCTAATCCAACTGTGGCCAAATGGTCCGTTGTCTCATAATCAAGTACTCCCGAGTAACCTGCCACCCAGAGTAAAGCAAGCTCTTCATGTTTACCGACCTAATTTTATAGACACTGGCATTTCCGAACCAGTACTTACTTAGAGGGCTGGCCAATGCCTTAAGTGCAGCTTGGCTATCCCTGCAGACACGTTAACTCCCTGCCCTCATCCACCTCTTTTCCACCACGTAGCCCATGGCTTTTAGGATTGCATATAGCTCAACCTGGGAGACCGAAGCATATTCGCCAAGCTTATTACTATTAACTTCGAAAAAGTCCCCAGATCCTGACCCAGAGTCAGTTTTGGAGCCATCAGTAATGTGTGAGGCCTGGCTCAGTGCTCGAATTAAACCAGCATTCAGCCTCAGGGGACTCAACATTATAAGAATCTCTTCAACAAAGGTAATGGTGGCGTACTATCCTGTGGCACTTAATAGACATTGATGCTCAAATCTCTGCCGCCGGCAATGTCCAACTCGCCCGCACGCAGTATTATTTAAACAGCCATTTCTTTTTAGTCTGCAGATGGGTTTTAAGGCGTCCACACGTATGAAGACACAAAGTGACGGTAAGTGCAAAGTGCGTCAAGACCACTATAGACGACTCAAAAAATTTTAATTAATTTTAGTGGACCCTCACTTACAATTCGTTCACCCCCATATTTTTTTCACGCCAACGACACGCGTCGTGTCTCCCGTGGACCCCTGGGGAATCACTGCCTTAGATGAAGCATACATATGTATCTTTGGAATACATCTGCAAGACATCAGACAGTCTTACTAGCACTCATGTCTTACATAAATACTTAATCGCATCAAAAATGGTATATGATTGCAGCGGCATCTTAAACTCTCTTAGGGCCGGTTGTTCAATGTCTGGTTATCACTACCTCCCAGTTAAACATCATTATCGACGTTTTCGACATAATGCATGTAACATGTGATCGACAAAGCAATCGTTGTTTTAACGGGAGCTTCTACCTCTGATTTGTGTTAACCAGACATTGAACAACCGGATGTTATAACCAAGAATACGATACTACTGGGCTGGGGGCATAAAGAATAAGAATCCATGGCCGGAGGGATTTTGTTGGCAAGCCAAAAAAGACACACAAGAAAAGTCACAGGCAATGGGTAGACAAAAAAATTAGCAAGCATTGGATTGAATACCCTGCAAACTGCAACCATTTTATTTTTCAGTAATATGAGAATGAAGGACCTATAAAAAACATATGCATTCTTTTACGTGATGCAGTTTTTTTAGTAAAAGAATATTAAAAGGGCGTGTCTTTCGAAGTCTGAAAATTATAAATGTGAAAATAAGAATTTTAGAGCTTCAAAGCTTTTGTAAATTCTCAGCACGACAATTTTTCACCGATTACAGCCTTGCAAAAATCAGCGAAAAATTTGGAATTTTTTTTTGTTCCCCTTAATTTTTTGAGCCTGCATGGATAGGTAAAGTCTAGCCAAAATTTTTTATTTTTTTTTGTACTATTGAAACCAGATAATTGAAACCAGATAAAAGTTGGTGGACCCCAACCATTTTTTACGCCAACGTAGACGTCCGTAGAGTCTCCCGTGTACACCTAAGAGTTCAATTGCACCACTTTGGTAATCACTGATTTAAAACAACGTAATGAATACTTCAAGTATTCGCCTTTTGCTAACAATGACAGACACAGCATGCTAGAGAAGAGAGAGAGATAATTCCCATCTCTACATCTAACGTTGACAATTAATTTCCAGCCGATTGATGCCAATGTCTTAAAAACTCCCAGTACGCCACCTGAAATGAATACGCAGCGCTTCTGCTAATATATTTGCATAACCAAAATATCTACTGCGTTTTTATATACCTACACTCAAGCGTACAAAGTTGAATAAAATGCAAATAATTTGAACGCATTTGTTTATTTATCTTTAAAATCAAATTCTAGCTCGTTGCAAAGTATTCCCGCAAATTTTTGAATTTTATTTATTTAACATTTAAATACAACAACAATGTCTATAATGCGTAGTTAAGAAAGCCACACATATTTACTATTACAGAATTGGATCAAAAAAACCGTCGCACCGCTGGTGGACCATCCGGACTCATAGCCTTCCCCCGCGTCGGGCGCAGCGATCCAAACCTGGTCAATAATTTGCATGAAGCTGACATCTCAGCGCTCAGCGATGGCATGTATCCCGCCTCGTTGGAAGACTATGAAGGTAAATGCATACATACTTATACATATATGTACATACAAATATATATAGTTGCTAATGCAAATTAATGAGTACGGCAGTGTGAGCGTGCGTGTGTGGTTGTTTTTAGTTTGAGTTATTGCGAAATTTCTAATTGATTTGACTTTTTTTTTATTTCTGTTCAACAGTTGAATATCCGAAAAGTGAAATAAAGCGCGCCAGCTTGATTGCCTTCCCACGGGTGGGACGCACCGATGCGGAGTTAAGAAAATGGGCGCGTATTATGGCGTTGCAGCAAGCCCTGAACAAGGGCACTGGCCCCAGCGCTACTTCAGGCCTATGGTTCGGCCCACGTTTGGGTAAGCGTAGCGTTGATGCACAAGTAAAACAGCAACAACAACACAATTCAAAGGCCAGTGGCCAGAAAGAGCTTTATTAGGCTAAAGGATAGCAACAAAAAGAACAACACTAATGACGATGACGACACTCTGCGGAACCCACTTGGATAAACGAGTTTTATGTATCTACTGGAACAATGCAAACTGTAAAATTATATGGTATTTAAGATAAAATAAAATTAGTTTTTTTAGGTAAGAATAAAAAAATCTATTAAAAACTTAACGGACGAAAAGTGGCACAAGAATTTTATTAATAATTAAAAAATAAAATATTTTAGCTAGAAAACGTTTGCGATAGGAAAATGTACAGGATGCGTAAAAAAACATTTAAACTGAAAGTAATCAAATAAAAAAAAAATATTAAGATAACAGTTTTAGAATTTGTTGATTTTGCAAAATATGTGCCCTCAATTTCTTCCACTATTTATTTATTTGTTGTACAAAAAAAAGCCAATTCGGCTTTACCGGTGTATATGTTACGTTTTGAGTGTTCAACGTACCTAACTAAAAATAAATATTTAAACTACAAAAACAAGATTAAAAGTTCATGCCAATTGCATTAGTGTCGCTTTTGTTTTCGTTACTTTTTCTTCAAATGGGCTGGTGAGGGCTTTCATTGTTATGCAAAGGCAACGACGACACGCAGATTTAGGTACTAAATATGTAAAACTGATACGGAAATACAAAATTAAATATATATGTATGTATATGTGTATACATATGTACGCACAAGCATCCCTCTCCGCTACACCTGTATTTTCAACTGCTGACGCACTCACACACCCACGGAAGCACACACACGCGAGAAATGCATAACAATGAAAGTCCTTTGAAAATTAACACAACTACATGCATATTTATGTATGTATGTGTATGTATATACAACAACAACAACAATTACTTAAACAAAATGACACACTTTTGCAATGGCTATGAATACAAATACATAGTGGCAACAACGACTGCAACTTCAACTACGGCTTCGTCAAGATAAGCTTGATAAGGAAAATATTAGAAAAGAAAAAAAATATAAATAAATAAATTTAAATCGAAAATCGAATGCGTTTCAAAGCAGAAATTATTATATTTAATATATGTACATATGTACGCAAATGCCTAATAAGAATTATACAAAAAAACAAATTAAATTAATATGCACACAACAAAAAAAGCAAAAAATCTTGACTATACAGGCCTGTTCTGCACATCGCGAAATTTGAAATCGGTGCGATTTGCTAAATATTTTTCAATGTACATACATACATACGTAATGAAAGTAATAAATATTTTAAATGGAAACTTCTACAAAAACATCAATTACGTCACATTCACCGTTTAGAAATCACCAAAAAATGTTTTGTAAATTGCATCGATTTAGAATCGTACGATTTGCAGAACATACCGGATACTTACACATACACACACATTCATAATATGTGCTCACAAAACAGTATTTTGCCTTGCATTGGCGAGAAGATGGCACAAAGTGTAACGAAATTATATTTTTAAATAATATAAATCAATGTTATTGTAATTGTTACTTTTTGACATGATAAATTAAAATATACGTATATTGAATTTTACTGCAACTAATAAAAAAACAAACACGCACAACGGTGCAAAATTTATTGAGTGCATTTTCTTCACTGTGAATGTGAAGTATTACACATTCATCCAAAAAAATGATTACGCCTGGGTCACACTACGGAAGTAAAACTTGCTATTACGCTTAATATTAAACTTACACTTCGTCTTCGCTATCATATTCGTATTCTTACTCGTCTTCTTTTTATCTTTTGAATTTGTGTTCGTATTCGTATTCATGTTCATTTCGGCTTTCGCCTTCATATTATTTTTCGAATTCGTATTCATATTCGCCGTCGTACGCAAATTCTTCTTTTTAATGTTCTTCCTATTCGTGTTCGTATTCGTCCGCTTCTTCCTTCATATTCCTCTTTGTATTCCTTTTCGTGTTAATGTTCGACTTAGTATTTGTATTTGTATACTTCATGGTCTTTATATTTTTATTTCTGTTCGTATTCATTTTAGGTCCCCATTCGACTTCGTCACCGTATTCGTCTTCGCATGAGTCTTCGTTTACATCTCGGTATTCATCTTCGTAGTTGTCGACGTATTCGTTTTAATTGCAGTAATCATATTCGGCTTCAAATTCGTATTCGTATTATTAGTATACGTCGTCGTAACGAAAAATGCATTTAAAATGACGCACAAGAAATGGAAAAGAAATTTTCTTCTATCAAAATTTGTTAAATCATTTTGCAGTCCTCAAGAAATAATGCAATAAAAACATTTTGTGATTTTTCTTGAGAGCTTGATTCCAAGCTTAACTCGATAACTAAAAAATTAATACATTTATACATCTCAACATAAATCGATATCTCGATAAACTTTGGATATCTCTTTAATTTCCACAACTCTGTTAATTTTAGTTCCATATTTTGCGAAAGATATCGACAAATTTCAATAACATGTTCCACTCTGATAACTCGATAAGCAGTGATAACTCGATAAACTAATTTAACATTGAAACTTCGATACCTCGATATATTTACAAATTCCAAAAACTTCGATTCGATAAGATGGATATTTGCAAAGGTAATGGCAAAAAGCCGCACGTTTATGTCTACCAAAGTTTCACTATCCAGGAACTGTTGTCTTTTAATTTGTCACATTTTAGCCAGTTTACTTTTCTATTTTTCAGGTGGGAGTACTGCTCCATCTTGTCTCAGTCACTCAACGGAGGGGTAGGCCTTCTATGCCACTTACATTTAAATATATTGAAACGTCCACTTGGACTATGCTGGCAACAAAGTCAGGTAGTCGAAACCAGCGAGAGGTATTTAGTATCTCGGAGAACGCTTTCACCAGTGTTCATTTTGAACTCATCGCTTTAGCTAACAGTAGAGACCTTTTGGTTTACCATAGACCATTTCCGAGCATCCCTGGATGAAAGTCTTACTCGATAATCATCCTCAATGTTGAATGAAAGTTAAGTTAGGCTAACTTGGCTGACCCCTAAGATATCGCGTAAGCCATTTGTTAGTCTTTAGTGCTACCAAAAATGTGGAGACCTCACCTTTAACCTGCCACGATACACTTTTTGGTAAGCGCTAATCATTTTCTTGTCCTTTGGTATGTATTTTCTTTCAATGCAGAAAAGTATTATCCGTCTGGCAAGATTTTTAAATGTTCCTCCAAGGTTTAATTCTATATTTAAGTGACTGAGCGAGGGTAGGTGATGTAAAGTGATTTCCATTAGTAGGTGTACCCGGTTTTAGCTAGCATGTAGGAGGTAGTCAAACAATATCTCTTAAGTTACACAACTTTCGCTACAGCACGAACTGCCTGAAACCACACTGACAGGTTGGAAACTTCGGTTTATGAAGTGCTTCAGTCTTTCACACAGTACCCTCGAGTAGAATTTATAAGCAATGCTGAGAAGGCTTATTGCGCAGTAATTAACGCAAACAGAAGGATCACCTTTTTTATGGATAGGGAAAAGCATCCTACGATTCTAATTGCGCTTAAGAAGTTCAGCCTGTTGATTGTTCGCTGCTGGCTTTGAACAGCTCTACCGGTATAACTTCGCCTCTGGGCGCTTTCTTTCATCTTCACAAGCACAGAATTAGCTACAACTTAAAAATCAATAAATTTAAATCCCCCGTTAGATTTGTATCTGTTGATTTATTTGCAGAAAACTAGTTCTCTGCTGGTAAGCTACATAAAATCGGTTATATTTAAATCCTAAACAATATATTTTATTGTACACTCGAAATTTTAAAATAAAAGTAGATACTTATTTATATTTTGTGCTATTTTGAAGTAAATTTGTGCAGCGTGTTTGCTTATTTATTACACAATAGTCGATATGTATCTATTTTTCATTAATCCTATATATGAACACTTTAATTATGCTCATCCTTATATCTACGCAATTCGCTCTTAATAGCCTCAATGAGAGGCTCCGCTGACAAATCCGAACGATTTGACGCCGATCTGGGTGGACCAACTACCTGAAACGTTTCCGAGCGTTGAATGGGTCCAGCGCTAAATGGACGGGTGAGTGGTGAATGTGAACCGTAAATACTGCCACCCCAAGCGCCGCTAGCAGGCGAAGGTGGTTGAGTGGACTGATTAGATTTGCTGGTTTTCGCTGGCTGGGCAGTAGCCGGGCGGGCCTCGCCCTTATGTAGGCGTGCAGCGAGACTAAGATAAGAAATTGAATCGTCAAAAAAAATGTACTTATGTACAACCGAAGTGAGAAAAAAGCTATACTAACCTTGTCACTCCTGCCGACGAACCGCGATTCTCCCACTTGGTTGGCTTACGCTTGTGGCTGAAGTCGCGAGTCGGCAACGGCATCGGCAAGTCATCTTGGCTGGAATACATTTGCATGGCGCTTTCAAGCAAATCCTCATAATGATTTCTTATCGCTCCCGGATTATTGCCGTACCTTTCGTCAAATCTCTTTATCATATCGTCTATTGGAATGGTATGAAATAGAAGAAGACAAGAAGAGGAAGAATGTAGAATAGGGAAGATTTTGCATTGAGCTTGGGAGTGTCAAGTGTTGAGCTGTTTGGCTGTCTGTTTATGCGCATACGTTTAGTAATCGAGCAATCAATCAATCATGCAATCAATCAATATATAAAATTTTTGTCTACATTTGTATCTCATTAGCTACGGTGGTGGAAGTCTCTAGTCTACGCTTGGCTACAATAATTTCTACGAGCACTCAATAATCAATAACGTTCCCTTTCCCCTTCTTTGTGGTTATCCCCAACATCATTACCCGCATCAGCATCGGCATCTAATGTCTCATTCAAACGTTTCTTATGCCTTTCCCAAACTATGGGGCCGAGAACGCCCGGATCGGGATTATCACTTTGCGAAGCGCCTAAATGCGCGTGCGACGATGGCGCTTTCGGTGTGGGGAAATTTTCTATGGTTGCTATTGTTGTGGCGTCTAAAGTGTCGTGCCTGCTCTGCTGTTTTGGCAACGGACGAGCGCTAGAGGACTGTTTCTTCGCAGTGGGATCTTCAACATTATCGTAGTATGTAACGAAGACCGGGTCTAAGACCCGATTCAATGGCTGCGGCAGTGAACTTTTCGGGAATGCTTTCACAGAAGCCATCGATAAGAATGAACCAATGCTGCCGGTATCAGAAGATCTTTCTGTCGGCTGAAGTGCGCGTATGATCTCTTTATTTATAGCTTCTGTTGGCTGTAGCTGTTCGCCGTCATCCTTATCGCCATACATGCTCTTTTGGTGCAACAATTTGTTGCGATGATAGTTGTTGTGCGGATTGAATGATTCATTCTTTTCGAAATTTGCGTATGCGGGGCTTAATTGATCGTCGTCCAGCGAGC